CGTCAGTGTTTTTTTCCAAGTTCGCGATCTGTCTTCCTCCCTTCCTTTGGTCCCTGCTCCGCCCCAGCCTTCCCGCTCTCGCCTCTCGTCTTGGTCCCCTCCTCCTGTTGGCTTTGTGAAGATCAACTTTGATGCTGCTGTTCGTCCTTCTGGGTGCTCGTCTGGTCTTGTGGTGCGCAGTTCAGATGGGCATGTGGCTCTGGCTTTAGGGTCTCTCCATCCCGGTATTGCTGATCCCTATCTTGCGGAGCTCCTAGCAGCTAGGGACGCCATCGCCCTTGTAGTCTCCAAAGTGCTGCCTCGGGTCATCATAGAAGGAGATTCAGAGGTGGTGATTCGGCAGCTTCGTCAAGGTGCTCTCTCTGACTCCATTGGAGGTCCGGTGCTTCGGGATTGCTCCCTTCTCCTTTCTTCCGTCTCTATTTCTTTAGAGTTTAGGGCAGTTCCTCGGACTGCTAACAGTGCTGCCCATAGAGTGGCGCAGAAAGCACTGTTACTCTCCCCTTTAGAGTTTTGCGCCTTTGATTTTGTGGGTTGGCTTCTCTGATGTATTGGGTTGGGCAGGGTCGAGGTAGATTGTATAGGTTTTCTTTTGACATTTCTTGGAAAAAAAAAAAATCATATCACTGGCCTTACATTTTAATCACATCTAATGGCTCAAAATTAATTAAGAGACAAAGAGGGGCAAACTAGTAATACCGCATACCTCTGTCTTTTTTTGTCTGACACGAAATTTGAGGAGAGAGGTAAGCTTTTTTGACCCGTCAAATATTAATTTTTATAATATCTCATTTTTTCATAGAAATGTAAAGACAAATCTATCATTCATACTTTCGGCTCAAGATAGGGTGAGTAACCTTAGGGTGAGTAACAATGAGTAACCAAATCTGGACCCTTCTTTTAAGTGATTGCAGATCTAAGGATGGAGAATTAAATGAATTTATTTTCCCTAGTTTTCTTAATTGGATCATATCTTCTTCATTCTAACTCGGATTTCAAATTTTTTTTTTTTTTTGCACAGATGGAACGAGTTCGTTGTGCTCTACAAAATGATATCCATTTTCAATATTTTTTGAGAAAAAAAATTTCATCCCTCTCGTTACCAACTCCATACCATATGGTATCTCCTTCGTTGTTTAGTCATTTTCGGAAATTTTTGCACAAAAGGAACGATTTAATCATGATCTATTGGATTTCAAAATTTGCTGGGGGAAAAAATTTCAAACCTCTCGTTACCAACTCCATACCATACTATACCACCCTGTTATGAGGTGATATTTTTCATACCATATGGTATGCTGTTATTTAATACCATATGATATTGACTGGTATTAAATAACAACATATGGTATTGACTGGTATTTTCATACCATATGGTATGCTGTTATTGAATACCCTTATGCCGTGGTCTGTGAGCAGTGTTGTTTTTAATTTTTTGTCTTAATGGGAAAAAAGAGTCTCCGTTCCTGATTTGAATGATCCTCTGACTCATCCAATTTGATGAATTTGGCTAAAGTGAGATCAACCTCCTTCTTCTCGGGAGTAGATCTAGTGAGTAATCTTGTGGTGAGTAACCCCATGCATAACCCAATAAGAATCTGCCACATCAGCGCCTCCTTCTCTCTCATGAAAAAATCATTAATTTTCTATCCCTTAATCTTTAACGGACGATTTCTCACTCGTTTTAACTCAGAATTTAATTTTTTTTGCACAGTTAGATCAGATTAATTGTGTTCTTCAAAATGATATCCACTTTGATAATTTTTGGAACAAAAAAAATTTGTCAGTTATTACCAGTCAATACCATATGGTATTGACTGGTATTAAATAACAACATAGCATGTGGTATGAAAAATACCACCTCATACCAGGGTGGTATAGTATGGAATGGAGTTGGTAACGAGAGGTATGAAATTTTTTCTCCCAAAAAATTTTGAAATCCAATAGATCATAATTAAATCGTTCCTTTTGTGCAAAAAATTCCGAAAAATGACTAAACAACGAAAGGAGATACCATATGGTATGGAGTTGGTAACGAGAGGGATGAAAATTTTTTTCTCAAAAAATATTGAAAATGGATATCATTTTGTAGAGCACAACGAACTCGTTCCATCTGTGCAAAAAAAAATTGAAATCCGAGTTAGAATGAATAAGATATGATCCAATTAAGAATACTAGGGAAAATAAATTCTTTTAATTCTCCACCCTTAGATCTGTAGCCACTTAAAATAAGGGTCCAGATTTGGTTACTCACCCTAAGACTATCCACAATGGTGGAAGGGAAAAAAGGGAAAAAAGGATGGGAAAAGTGGGAAAAATGGATGAGAGAAGGATAATGGCCACAATAGGTGGTAGGGAAAAAAGGGTATTGAGGAGAGGTTTTTTTTTCAAAATCAATCTAGAGTTGATATGGTAACTTTATTTTGATAATTTATTCATTATTTTTATATAGGTAGTATTAATTAATTAAGACGAACATTTCGATATAATTTTTTTTTAATTTGGACATAAAAATTTTATCACTAAAATCCAATAACTCATAAAAATCCAATAAGAAAACCATAAAACAATTTTTAAAAACAAAAAACAAAAAAAAAAACTCACCCACATGGTCCCCCCTTCCCTTCCTCCTCCCACCCACCTGGACCCACTTCCCCTCCTTCTTTTAACCTCTAGTGCAGGATAAACCCTCCCCTTCTTTCCCTTTTATCCTTTTTTTCCATAATACCCACCCCTATTGTGAGCCATATTCTGCTTTTTTCCCCCTTTATCCTCTTTTTCCCTTCTTGCTGTGGACAGTCTAAGGTTACTCACCCTATCTTGAGCCATGCCTGGGAGGATAACGGACAAATATGCAAAGGAATTGATTTGGAATGCAGTAGCAGGTGGAAACGAACATATTCTTTCAAATAAAGCATGTGTACAAATGCTGTCGAGAAAGCATGTGTACAAATAGGGTTGGATAACAGAATGAACTACTAGTGTTGAGCAGAGTATTTCATTCAGACATTCTGCTACTTTATTTAGCTGCACATAATTTAGTAGCCCGACTTCCTGTTTGATTCCAAAAACAATTACGTGCTAATAACAATGGTGCATTTCAATCATCAACTTGTGCAGACAGAATCAATTTCTAAGCAATAATACCACCGTCATAATAAGAGCCAAAGCACTCGTACACCCTTTGCCTTTGGATATCGCACTTTTGCGTGAAACTTCCATGCTCCTTCACACACTGCGCAGAAACAGTGGAGCAAGGCTTACAAATCAGAGCTTTGATTCAATCTTAAAGGTGGAACTCGATTTCCATGGATATTAAACGGTGAGCAATCACAAACCTTTTCAAGGAGCTCTTCCCAGAAGCTGGATTGAATCTTCTTGCGGTTGGAGGTTGGCACAAATGCCGGCTCTGCATTAATGGTCATCCCTGAACAAGGTAGAAAGTAGAAACCAACTTTGCCATATCAGTTTCTATATATGTCAAAATTTGTAGCAGCAATATACTTGACCAAAGGACCGGATTTCAACTGCCCATCGTATATATGACAGTCACATTCTAGGGGTAGTTTAGATTAAGGATTTGAAAAATGAAGGTTTGTGTTGAATTTCGTGATTTGGAAAATGAAGGATTGGGGATGGATTTGGTTCATTTAGCATCAAGGATTAGTTTCATTCTCTCGAATCTCATCAAATTATGTGAGATTTTTCAAATCCATATACGTTGTTTGCTTGATGGATTATGTGATGAATTTGGATCTATCATTAATATGATGTATTTTGTCCAAACTATATTGTTTGCTTCACGTATTTAGGGAACAACAAATCGGTGGGACCCACGGACATTGAGGGTCCAAATCCGTGAGCCCCGCAAACTTGGAAATCTCACCCCTTAGGTAGGAAATGATCATGGATTTTGAAGTTGATATCCAATCTACCCTCCTATTTCTTTTCTTTCTCACACCAATGAGAACAATAAAAACTAAATTTCACTTCATACATACAAATCTAATTAACAAGATCTATAATGAAATTTATAAACAAGAAATGATATTTTTTCAAATCTATAATGAACACAAAGCGCTCATATATCCATCATTTTCAAAACCCAAAATATGTTGATTTCACAAAGCAAATTACCCGGTCGTCAGTTCGCTTGATACATACATCTGAAATCATCTTCTCTGCCAATGGACAAAACAAAAGCTTTTACCTTTAGCATTGTCTTCCAAATGTTTCATAAGAGTCGAAGCTCGATTCTGGCAGGAAGTGCGGTCGGGATGCTCCCACATGCTCAAACACTGTCAATTTTCACACACAGGCAGATCAACATAAAACGTCCCAACACATGTACACTCACTCTGTTCCCCTTCAATCGAAACCTCACCTTCTCCAGAACCTCCTCATCATTGAGAAACTCTGCATAAGCTCCTCCACCGGGTCTGTAGTTGTGCGCCACGATCGCATCTGCCTTTACGTGATGCTCGCTCGACGAACCTACATTTCAACGGCAGAGAAAGAGAATCGAATTAACAGGCAGGCCTTCTGATTCCAGATCCTTCAAATCTGTTCTGCAACTTTTCGTGCACGGAAAGAAAGAAATAAAGAAAGAAAAAACCTGTTGCGTTCTCTCCTTTGAGATTGGCTGTACCACTCGAACCACCGGACTGCGATTCAAAGTGGCTGCCGACGCCGCTGGCCTTTGCCTTGTTCAGTGCGGCAGAACTTGCACCGCCGGGAGATGCTCCCCGCATCACAGTCGCTCTCGCCGCTCTGGCGTCGTCATGGTTCCTACGATTTCCCAAATTGTGAAAAATCCCAATCCATCACCATCAGGTTTTTGTATCTGAAGTGGCCCTGAAGAAACGCGATTGGTGTAGGTTACCGCAATACGGCCCGTAACATAAGCCCATGGGATCAAAGTCACAAGCCCATGGGCCCAAAGTCGCTCTCGCACGGAAATATTTACAACCCTTCGATCAATGGGAAAAGGGATTCGCGGCCGTCTCAAAGCGCATTCTCGGCGGATATTTAACTCTTCTGTTTGAACTTTGAAGCTTGTTCGTTAACCTCCTTACGGAAGTGCCAAGGGGAATCGCTGCTTGATTGAACGAGCTACTTCAGTGAATTAGCCAAGGTGAGAGACAGCTAGGGTTTCAAGTATTGGTATGTGATTTAGCCTGGTAATTTTTCTTCTATAGGGATTGTACTGTTCACGCCGTGCTTGGAGATTCTTTTTTTAGCTAGGGTTTTGAATTGTAGGCGGCTCCTATTTGAGATTCACGGTGAGGCTCGGGTTGGACTTGGTTTCATCCTTTCTCAAAGTTCACTCTTATGTTATAGTTGTTCGTCTGCTCTTTCGAAATGGATGGAAACTGTATAAATATGTGGGGATTAGTATTTAACCTGTGTGGTTGCTGCTGATAGTATTTGAACGATAGATTTCTTTAGTGTTTATTTGTTTGCGATGAAGGTAGAGAAATCCAACAGGCTATTAGAGTTTTGGGATCTGTTTACGTAAAGATTGGTTATACGGGAGTTTAAATAAGCTGTTTCAAACAAATGCACCGGTTCATGCTGATCGAACCACTCTTTTTCTCCAGCATGGCGTACGGTCTGCTTCTCAGAGCATAGGATATAATTCTAGCTCTGGCATTATGGTTATATTGTTCTTCAGCTGAATTGGTCTCTATTTGAATCAGGATTCTGGAAGTTGGGAAGCAAAGGAGGGCATGATGGCCGATGAAGGATTGAGTCAGCGGATAAAAGAGTAACCTTTCTTTGTGGTTTAGCTGACATGAGATTGAATTGTTCTTAGCTACCATCTAATTTTGCTTTTTGGACTCAGGGACAATCCTCAGTTAGCATTAGTACTGAAAGAAATGAAAGGAGGGTTGGATTTGGTGAGAAGTAAAGTTGAAAGCTTGACTGCTAAGGTAAAGGGTTTTAGGTTTTGAGGATATTACTTTTGAATGCTGGAGTTGCGAGTAGTCTTACTCTGTGAATTAAAGTTCAATTGAAGTCCTCCCCTGATGATTTAACTTCTTCTTATTGAAAATGAATGTTTTTACCCCTTCTGGATGAGCAGGTAAAAGATAATAATTATCCTACAGCTGATGGGATAAGCTACCTAGAGGCTAAAAATTTGTTGCTTCTTAACTATTGCCAATCGCTGGTGTACTACATGCTTCGTAAGGCAAAGGGTTTGTCAGTTGACAATCACCCTGTTGTTCAAAAGCTTGTCGAGACGAGGTTGTTTTTGGAGAAGGTATGTTCATCTTTGTCTCCCTTTTATGCTTCTTTGTTCACTTGATGAATGTTTGTTGCAGAAATGGGGATATCAATTTGTGATGTTTTCTTAACAGATACGACCAATTGACAAAAAACTTGAATATCAAATTCAAAAGCTCACAAAGGGTGCTTCACAGCCTGTGGATCAAGTAAATGTCAATAGCAATACAGAGGCTCCTAGGAATTCTGAGGATCTTTTGAAGTATCGTCCCAACCCAGATATGCTTAATAACAAATCTGTGGTCGCCTCTGGGGTGAGTTTCATTTTAAAAATTAGGCTGTCATTGGATGAAAGAATATCTGGCATTTCTTGTTAGCTAATTTGGTGATTCTGTGTCCTAGGACGTTGTTGGTGTATATCGGCCACCAAAATTGGTCCCAGTAGAAATGGAAGGTGGCAGAATATCGAGGGAAAAAAGGAATGAAGTGAGAAAAGAGAAAGAGATGGTTAGACGGTCAAGACTGGGCTTCCAAAAAGATTTGTTTGATGACTTGCAGGGGAAGCCTGAAGAGGTTAGTTCTTTCTCCGCTTTATTTATTCTTCTTGTTGGATAAACTTTTTCAGGCACTTGAGATCACCACTTATTGTATGTGTACATACCAGGTTAAAGAATCCTTTGGAAACGAGAGTAGGGAGTTTGAAAAATATCAGAGACACTGGGAAGCACGTGAGAAAGAGGAATTAGACCAATTCATCCGTGCGCCTATCACAAAGAAGGAGAAGAAAGAGTTGAGGAATTTAAAGAGGTCAAGAGGCGGGTATGTTGCATCTTTTGGGGTTAATTTCTGAGAAGTTGAGATATTATTTACTGAGCAAGCGGATGGGCTTGTTATTCAGATTTCTGTGATAATTCTCGACAACCTTTCCTGTTTCCATTCCTTTCTGGCAGGTTGGATGGTTTGACTGATGGTTTCGATATCAAATTCTTACCATTGGATGATGGTGCTGGTGAACAACAGAAAGCTAGAAATGGCAGTGTTGGAATGAGGAAGCATAAGAAACACAAGGTATGCTCAGAAATGTTGATGATAGCTTTTCCTTGTTTGTATAAGTCCCAAGTTTGACTTCCTACGTTTTGTACTCTGTATGGATGTTCATAGAACTAAGAGTTGAGAAACAAATTGCGCATGTGTGCTGCGAGGCTGAGATCATTTTTTTTTGGTTTTTTTTTTTTTGGCGTGATGAATGTTGCTGCTGTAGTATCTTTTGGGTATATCTCTAGCTGATTTATGTCATCGCTTTATCATATGCAGAGGAGGCATTGAGCACAAGAAAAGCTGAGATCCCCAGGCCAGTGTTGTGCTACGTTTGTAAGAACAATTCACATCTGGCGAATGTTTATAGGGCAAGTGACTTGGGAAAGGGAGTTTTAATGCTAAGCAGAGTCCTATTTTTGCAGTTGGGCATACTTGAACCTGGGAGCTGGGAAGCTCATTTCTGGTTCTTATAATTTTGCAAGTTCAAGGCCAGGCCAAAAGGATAATCGTGCAGTCAATTGCGTTAACTTACCATCATTAAACCAATCTGTAATCCAGTTTTGTGAGAGTTTCAAATTCAATGCAAAATTTGAATTTTAGTTTATCATTATTTAATTTGGTTACCTGCCTGCTCGTAACTGCCCTGCTAACCTTCAGTGGTTAGTATCGTGCTAATGATGAGTTGAACTAGTCGGCGTTGGGGTTACAATTATAAAAAAAAATGACTACAGTTGCAAAAACCATGACATGTTTTTATGCTTGAAAAAAATCGAAAATGCACTCATTCTCTACCGTGTGTAGCTTTTTCTTTTAAGAGAAATTTTCAGTCCATATACGGTATCAATGTACAAGGTAGACATATTACAAAAGAATTTGAGAAATAAAATCAATGATCTGAATCCAGAGATAAAGCTTTGTCTGGAGATTGTAGGACATTAACCACCACTTGGTAGCCAGAGAAGATGATAGCTCTAGGCACGCGTTCTCGGCAAAATTCAAACACGTCAATAAGGCTTTAACTTCTGCTACAATCGTTGATGAACATAAAAGAGAACTGGCAATACCATCCAAAACTTTCCTATTGGGGGGTTAGGATCAGAAGATCCAAGTCGATTCCTCTCCACCACTCTAAAGGCATGGTAAGCCCAGCTTACAGTGAATACACCGGATTATCACTATGATTTTTGATACATTTCCTCTTTCCATCAAAGCATCTTTGATTATTTCAATAGTATTTCCTATCTAAATCACAACTTGATCAAAGAAAGCAGCTTCAAAAGAAAAGCCCCAGTTAGAGTCCAAAAGGATACGAGTAACCAAAAGTACGGTGATACTGATAATCACTCGTTTCAAAAGAGATAAAAAAATGTTGAACTGAAAAAGGTTCGATTCATCTTGTGTGATGGAAATTCTTGTCTTCTTATTAGCGGCATTCTCCCTTGACTTTTACACAAATTTGAAAATTTTAAATTATCATGAAATTTTCCATAATCCATATATTAAGAGTTGACCAATCCCCTGGAGTTTCTAATGACTACTAAGTCTAATGATTAGTGTCGCAACCGTCCCCCCGGGGGTCCGTTGTCGTCGCGTCGACATTTTTTGGGAGTCGCCATCGATCTTGCTTGGAGTGGATCGAACACTCTTCGAATCGGCTCCGACCTTAGGGTCCGAACCAAGATATGGTCTGCGAACATAAAGTTCTGGGTTCGGGAGTACGGTTACGTGTGGGGAAGTTAAGCAACACCCCACAACGCCCTAAATCGGTACTACTTAAGTCGATAAGTTTTATACGAGTTGGGTGTATTTTAGTAATATTTTAGTAATTTTAGGTCCCACTGGACCATTTAATGATTTTATCGCATTAGTTGTAATTTAATTATACGCCCACTAACGTAAAATTTTAAAGATAGAATTAATTGGCTAGTTGGACTCGAACCTTATCGACTGCCTACGTACCCGTTAGACGGGATCAAAGTCCACGTAGTTCGTTGGGAACTTTGATAATTTTAATTATAACTTTTACCACGTTCCACTGAACGTAATTTTTTGTATTAAAGATTTTGTCAATAAAATTTACATAGATTATTATGAGGTCATGACAATAAATGCAAGGATTTTAGTTATTAGGAAGTATTTTGATGTATTAGAAAAGAAACAAGATAAACTTAATTCGCATTCAACATTTTGTATTAAGGATATTAAAAAGAAATAAAAATAACTAAGATAATTAAATTAAAGTATAATGGCCCAGCAGCCCAATTGGCTAAGTTTCCAGTCACGAACCGACTCGTACACCGAACGATGTTTCTAAACCTGCTCACTTCATTTTATTGTCGTTTTTATTTTAGAGAAAGGGGAAGGGCAATTTTGTAATTGCAAAAACGGACGGTGGCAGGGCCACGTAAATGTGCAGAAACCCTGGGGGCAATCTCTCGTCCCTCTCATTCTCGCCTCTCTCTCTTCCTCTCGATCCTTCCACTTCTCTCTTCCTCTTCCAGAATCAAATCAAAACCTAGCCGCCCCTCTCTCCTCCATAGACCGAAACCCTAGCCTGCTCTCTTCAAACCGTCGCCATCTTCTTCTCCTCTCACTCTATCGTCTCTCTTCCACCATAGACCGAAACCCTAGCCCCCAATCGCCGTCGCTCTCTTACCCTCTCAATCCGCCGTCGCTCTCGTGCCCTCTCAATCCGGCGTCACTCTCGAGATAAAACGCTGCTCGTGTTCGCAAACGAGAGAGCTGCTGCTGTGAAACCAAGATTCGTGATTTCTTCTTCAAAGGTGAGAGCCCGCTCTAGGTTTTTCCAGTTTCATCTGGTTCCCGTTTCAATTGGTTCCCTGTTTGTGATTAATTCACCATTCTAGGGATTTTTATTTCTCGGCCTCAGCTTGTAGATTGGTTTTCAGCTAGGGTTTTTCGATTATACGCGGCTTCTTTCTGAGATTTATGGCGGTATGGGTCTCATCCGAGTAATTTGATTGATCCGTTCCTTGCCTCGCTGGTAATGTAGTTTTTGTTTTCATGGGTGCTGCTGCTTAGGATCTTCATTGGCACTGTCGACATAGTTGCGTGGCTTGAGCGGGAAAAAAACAGATCTTTGTCTGGAAAATTATTTTTAAGGTTAGGTGCTTTGTGAAGGGGGAGTGAAGTCTGTGTCTTTACATTGTAGCGAGACTATTGTGCTACAGAGAGATTAATTAGGACTCAATTAGACCGTTTTATGTTATTATTTTAGGGAGAACTTTCGTATTTGTGATCTGTGTGGAATGAAGTATGTATCTGCCATAGCTGAAGGCATTGCATCAGCTAGCTGTTTTTAATATGCGACTGTCTCCCCTTTTTCATTTGATGTTATTTAGTTGCATTGTGTTGAAACCTTCTTCATCTTGCAGCTTGAAGATGCCGCGTTATGATGACAGATATGCCAACACCCGCCTCTATGTAGGCCATCTAGCCCCCCGCACAAGGTCTCGTGATCTTGAATATGTCTTCAGCAAATATGGGAGGTGAGTTGCACATGAAGATAAAATCTCTTGGACTTGATGTGGGTTTTTGTGTTTATGCATGAACTTTTTATACGCCTCCAATATTCATATTTTCCTACTGACTGACATGGTTTGTCCTGGGGTATGTGTTTTCAGTCCCCTCAATTTTCTTTAGTTGGACATATTTGTCTTCAACTGTTTCTTTCTCTCATTGATTTGCTCAAGTTTTCTCTATTGGAAATGTTGTGGTGCCTAGGTGTCTATTGTTTTTAACTTGAATGATCTTGTTGAAGGTTTCTGGGGCTTTTGCCTTACCTGGAGGCCTGTGGTGAGATGGTTGCCATGGTGGAAATTGGTGGAAATTCTTGCCTAGGGGACTTTGGCGATTCTTTCTATTATGTTATTGCGTATTTTTGAATGGAAATGGCAACAATCTCTCAAAGTGGTGTTCATTCAAACTGGTGTTTAGTACGTCTATGAGGAGTGAAGTATCATACAACTTGCAGTACTCTTACACGTAATGATGGCCTTACTGTTTGTGGCAACCGTTTTGGCAGAGTCCGAGATGTGGATATGAAGCGTGACTATGCATTTGTTGTAAGTGTTGTGCATTTTTCTCATTAGCTCGGTTCATTATTTGTCTGGCGGATGTATAATTGAACTCTGTATTGTCTACTAGTGTCTGACAAATTATTACCTACAACTATATCGTCTCGTGTGTGGTGTTGTTGTTTTCTGTCACTTCTCTACAGGAATTTAGTGATCCACGAGATGCTGATGATGCAAGGTATCACTTAGATGGCCGAGATGTTGATGGAAGTCGGATCATTGTGGAAGTTGCTAAAGGGGTAGGTTCAGTTTTACCGTGCTAGTCGATGTACTTTAGTGGTTATGATGCTTAAAGCAGCCCAATTTTTTTCATACTGTATTAACCTTGTTTGCTGACATGGCTAGGTACCTCGTGGCTCCAAGGAATACCTGGGGAGAGGTCCGCCTCCTGGATCTGGGCGGTGCTTCAATTGTGGTATTGATGGCCACTGGGCTAGAGATTGCAAAGCTGGTGATTGGAAGAATAAGTGCTACAGATGTGGGGAGAGGGGACACATTGAGAGAAATTGCAAGAACAGCCCTCAGAAGTTGAAGTGAGTCGTTCTTCTTCACTTCATAAATTTCTTCTTGGTTCTAAATAGTAGGGACTGCTTGCAATTTCCACGATTTCTATTTCTTATTATAATTGGGTGTTATGTTATACGAACAGGCGTGGGCGAAGTTACTCAAGGTCCCCATCACCTCGTCGTGGTGGCAGGAGCCGCAGCCCAAGTTACAGCCGAGGCCACAGCTACAGGTTCGTCAATAGCAAGCAATCATAAGAGAGCTTTGTCTGTTGCAACTCGTTTGTGGTTTAGCTAATGAGACTGATTGGATCTCATTTCTACTTGCAGCCGATCGAGATCTCCAGTGCCTAAGAGAGACCGAAGTGTGGACAACGAGGCCAGGTCAATGAGCCCGGACCCAAGGAACGATGGCCCTTCCAAGGGGAGGAAGCGTAGCCCAACTCCTGAAGATCGAAGCCCACGCCCTTCTCCCAAAGCTAGGAAGGTGGAGGATGATGACCGAGAGTATAGTGCCAGTCCAAGGGGCAGGAGCCGGAGCAGGAGCAGGAGCAGGACCCCAGAAAGAGAGAGCCCTAGAAATGGCAGGTACGAGAGTCCCCCGGCTAATGGCCGAAGTCCAAGCCGGAGCCGCAGCCGCAGCCCTAGTCCGAGGGCGAGGGATGACAAGAGCCCTGCTGCTGAGGATGATTTTGAAAACAACCGTCGCTCGCCTAGAGGCAGCGAGTCTCCCTGAAAGATGAATGAGAGAGCGTGGCTAATAGTCCCTGAAGCTTCACTCCCCGGTCGTCAATTTAAATGTTCAATATTTGGAAGCTTCAACTATGGATTTTCTTTTATGTTGTGATGTAGCTTTCGGCGGAATTCTATGTCCTTCTGTGAGCTGAATGTATCCTTTGTTCACCGGATCCGTAACTCTTTCCTATTTGATATTTTAAGCTAAGGCGGCAATGTTGTTGGATGAAGGATTTACCAATGCAATTCGGAAAATGGAAGTGCAATGTTGTCGACAGAACTGAAACGTTTCCTTTTTATGTAATTCGCGTGCAATAAGTAGAAATAATTTATTTTAGTATTTTTATAAATTGGCAATTATGCTAATGTATGTTGGTCACCACTCACCATAGACTAAACATTGAAATCGTTCGAAATTATAGATTTAACGAATTTTATAATTTTTAAAGCGGAATTTTATAGGATTTTAAGATCCAAAAATTTAATAGTAAAATCAAGATTGGAACCTAGCTATAGGTAAAATCATAAACTTGGAAATTCAAGATAAAAATTGAAATTTTAACTACATTGGTGGCAAGGGTATTGAGAATATTCATTCCCAGCAATGACACTTTCCAAATAGAGTCCCTGCTTGGCAAGGTGGTTTGATCCGCATACTTGTCGGCTGATCAAGGAGATTCCTCTCCCTCGTGGCAATGTGGCGGATCGACTAATTTGGCATGGCACGCAGGATGGAGTTTTTACTGTCAAATCGGCTTACCATTTGGCGGGACAGTTGGAGAGGATGGAGGACCGGTGCAGGTCGTCGGTCAGTTGGATGGACAGATCTAGTTGGATTCGCGTCTGGGAGGCCCCTGTTCCCCCGAAGCTACGGGTCTTTCTTTGGCAAATCCTTAATCGCCTCCTCCCAACTACAGAAGCTCTGATTGAGAGGAAGGTCCCGGTGCACCCTCGTTGCCCGGTTTGCTGGGCGGAATCTGAAACTTTGGAGCACCTGTTCCTGGACTGTCCGGTGGCTCGGGCCCTCTGGGACTATGCTGGGTTGGAATATCTCGGGCAGGGACTGCCTCGCCACACTTTTCCCTTGTTCCTGAAAAGATTGTTGAATCTCCTTCATCAGGATCACTTGGTGATGGCGGTTACAGCTGTCCTCTGGCGTATTTGGAGATCACGGAATTGGGTGGTGTTTGAAGGAAAACAGTTTGGGCTTCCAGCTTTAATGCGACAGTTTCACCAGCAGTACCAGGAGTGGGTCAATCTTCCGAAGGTTAAAAGCCAGGGTGGCCCTGTTATGCCGGAGTGTGAGCCTCCGCATTGCCCTATAATATGCCTATGGGATGGGGCTACTAAGGTCGCTTCTCACTCGGCAGGAGGGATGGTGGTGACAAATCACTTGGGGAACGTTCTGGTAGCCAGAGGCTTTCAATTTGCAGGCATTGAGGATCCCCTGGTTGCTGAGGCTCTAGCTCTTCGCGAAGCTGTTCTCTGGTGCCGAGACTCAGGGTTTGTGGAGGTGCGGTTTGAGGGTGATGCCAAGGTGCTTATTGAGAAGATTGCTCAGGCTAATACGAGGGATAGTAGAGTAGGGGCGCTCCTTGTGGAGATTGTTGGGATACTGAGTTCGGTGGGAGGTTTCTCTGTTCGGTTTGTAGGTCGGCGTAGAAATAGGGCAGCCCACTTGGTGGCTAGAAAGGCTCTTTCTTTGTACCCGACTACGAGTCGTTACTTTAATTTTCTGGCCTGGCTTAGCTCCAGGATGTAATTACCTATTTTTCTGATCAATATATCGATTATCTTTGGAAAAAAAAAAATAGAGATAAAGTAATGACTACAACTAGATATTGAAACTTAATCGTATTTAGCACAATAGGTGTTTTGAAGTGAAGGAGTATAAGAAGCAAACTAGTGAAGAGAAGAAAGGTGTTGAGCCAATATATTGAGTATGGCATTTGTTGTTCTCTTTTTAGCGAAAGGATTGCGATCATGATGGAGGCACGAATTGTTGGCAGTGTTGTCAGTTTATTCACTTAATTACATTATTATTGTTATTCAATTATATTCATTGAGATTTTAGGAGATTTAGGGATTATTGAAAATATTTGAGGGATTTGAGATTATTATTATGATAGTTGTTAGAAAAAAGAGATTATAAGACTCCATATGATTATTATGTGGAAATTAGGCAACAAACAATTGAGTTACAAAATCCTCCAATTTCCGGATTTTTCCGAGAAATGACACTAAATAAAAAAAATTCCAAAAATACCTCCTATTTCCGAAAAATTCAAAAAATACCACCCTTTTCCGAAAACCGCTTGGGGAGGGCACGGTTTTTGCTGAAAACCGCATCGGGGCGAGGTGGTCTGATAAGCCCCTGAGTTGCGGTTTGTATGAATATATTTTTTTATTTATTTTAATTCGAACTTAAGTCGAAACTTCAAACGAACGTAACTTTGTGCTCGGGTATCCGATCGTAGCGAATTTTTTATTGAATCTGCATAACTTTTCGAGATCTTGCAAACCGCAAACAACTATAGGCAGTTTGATCTCACTTTCCTCCCGAAAAATGTCGTTTGCTACTCCGAACAAACAATTTTTTTATTTTGCCAAATTTTGGATGACCTTAACTTTGTGCTCCGTACTCCCTTTGTTAAGTCCCTCTCTCCCTTTCCCTTCTTTCACACGTTCAAACCCTTCCTCTCTTTTCTGTTCATCCCATCAAATCCACCAAATCCCACTTCTTCCCAATCTCACCAATTCCACTATTTCATTCACCATCCCTTGATCTGGGTACTCATAAGATTAGGAGTAGCTTTAGAAGCTTTTGATTGGCAGCTGTTGTCAATGGTTTTATTCTCAACCAAAGAGTACCAATCGAAGTTAGATCTATCAATAAGAAAATCCTAGGAGAATAGACCTCAAGGGGTACACACCCTGAGTCAGGAAGTAAAGCAATACATCCATGGAATAAGATTAAACGATCTTGGTTGAAACTAAACATGATTTGCAATTCAATCCACAATTATTTTGTAGTGGGTTCACTCGATAATGAGTTACCATTGTTCCGGCCACTCAAGTTTGAAGGTGTGATGTATGTTATACGTATACTAGAACATATGATATATTTCGGTTATTGTTCAGATGATAGCTCATTAAGCTATATTGAAAATTAGTTCGATGAGGGTTGAAACAGAAAAACTGAAAAACACATCATCTATTTACCTATCAAAATTTATGGTTAACTGTTGCTTAGGATAAATTTAATGGAATTAAACGGTAGGTGACCAATCACGATATGAGAATTTAAATTAAATGAACACTAAGCCACAAAAAAAAACTAAACGACAAACACGAAACAAACATAAATTGAGTGACCAAACTTGCAATTTAGTCCCTAGTCCCTACAAATATATACCTAATATAAACATTGGGTTAATTGCATAGTTGGTCACTGAGATTACAAAAAACGTTCAAGTTTGGTCACTCGAAATATTTAAATCCATTAATCATCGAAAAATAAAATATTTAAATCCATTGGTGGTACTTCAGTTTACTGAAACCGTTCAAGTTTGGTCACTCTCCATCAAACTCCGTTAAGTTTGGCTGATGTGGCAGTCAACACTCAAATTTGACCGTTAACTTAGTGACGTGGCAATTAAGAAATAATAAATAAAATAAAATGTAATCTATTTTAATGTCAAACTCATTTTTACCATTAAAAAAACGAAAAAAAATTATTATAATTATCAAAAGAAGAGGTGCAGCCGCTGGCCCCGCCACCGTGCTCGTAACCTCCGCCGCAAAAAAAAAGAGGTGCAGCCACAAAAAAAATTATTATAATTATCAAAAGACAACCAACTGTTTCTAAGACACGGCCCGTTTAGTATTGTTGCTTGTTTTTGTTTCCTGTTGTGTATTACGAAATTTGGAAAACCAAGGAAAAAAAAACGTGTTTAGTTGGGTTTTTATTTTTTGTTGTGAATCAGAGTTGCACAACAAGGCCCAAATATGAGAAACAACAATTTATAGCTTTGGATCTGATTCTTAAACATGTTGCACACGGGATTCCTATTGGTTGGGCGCTTGATTTCATTAAAACAGACCAGTTTTCGAATCCCCACAGAAGCAAATTTTTTTTTTTTTTAACACAGCCGCCCCCCCCCCCCCCCCAAAAAAAACCCTACTTCCCCTTTTTTATGATCTTCTTCTTCTCGATAGAACACAACCGCCCTTTTCCATCTTCTTCTTCTTCTCGACAGAACACAGCCGACACCCATCTTCTTCTCCCAGCCTCTGCGCGGCGCGACCCCTCTGCCTCCGCCCAGCGCCGCTCCGCCTCCGCCCGCCGCAGCCCACGCCGCCCGCCGCAGCCCGCGCCGCCTCGCCTCAGCCCGCGCCGCCTCGCTTCCGCCCGCCGCAGCCCGCGCCGTCTCGCCTCCGCCCAGCGCCGCCTTGCAGACATATCTCTTTTTCTGGTTTTTAGTTCTTATAGTAGTAACTAAACGCGTTTTTGTTTCTTGTTGTCAGCTTTCATGATTTTTCAAATTTATCAACTAAACATGTTTGTGTTTTCTGTTTTTTTTCCTGTTGTGGTTGTACATCTGTTTACACAACACCACTGCAACCACAACAGCAACAAAATGATACTAAACGGGAATATAAAACAATGGCAAACACACATAATTAAAGGAAACCGCAAAACAAGCCTACAGGCTACAACTACAACACAGGAAATTAGGGGGGAGACAGAAAACAACAAACCAGAGACCTAAGGAACGAATTAGAGAGAGTGCCGATGATGTAGTCTCTCTTCTTTCCAGGACGAGCAATTTTAACATTAATCCACCCTTAATTCGAATTTTCTCATTGGTCTTCCACGATTTCAATGAGAGTCGGCTGCGAGCATTTTCGTCGCCGGAGTTGGTGAATATTGCTGCTGCAACTATTACCCAGAACCAGAACGAGAACCAGAACCCTCCTTCCACCACCAGCAAACCCCAACAACCACCCTTGCAGGATTATAGCTTAGAAGGTCGGCTGGTCAGTTTTTGCTTTGTTTGATTGTTTGTGATGAATAATCATCTGGATCGGCTTCATGGGTTTTGTTTGGCAGGGATCGCCGCCAATGTGAAACTGCTGCTGAAAGTGATACGGGATCACAATGAGGCGAGCGCCAGAGACTACGACGAC